ATGTGACAAATACATGTTACAAATTAGATTATTGCACAATAAATGATAGTTGTGCATAATGTAAAAAAAAAAAAGAATCAAAGAATAGAGTACAGAATGAAAATGGTCATTTAACTACGTCCTCATCGGTTTTTTTTGCCGTCTTCAGTTCATGTTCTCTCTCAGAAGTGGTTTTTGCCTAGCGTTTTGTAAAGAACGGCTTTTAACAATCCTTTGAATATGTCCAAGATAAACATCAGCAGAGTGAGCGATCGCCCAACTGGTTGCCGACACTTTTTCTGGGGATTCACATTTACGTAAAACTATCGGAACACCTCATGGCCCAAGGGGCGAATGACGAGGACGCTGCATAGACACACATCTATCTATCTACATACATAGACACAAACGGTAGAGGTCCCTCTTAGCCAATGGGATGCCAGGATGATGCTCGGTAGTAGCCAATGGCAGAGCATCTCTAAGTATGTTGCGTTCAGGAAACTCTGAGCTGCAAGTAGGGGGCCATACTGTATTTTTACCTTTCGTATCTTGAAATTTCTTTCGGAACTAGAAGCAATATTTTCCAGTTGAGGCATTTCGTAACTTGATAATTTCGTATGAAGAGACGTTCGTAAGTAGAGGTACCACTGTATCTTGAGGCGCCGCTGTTCGCCATACGTATTTATATCTCAAGTGGCGAGAATAGTCATCAGCAATCCAACGTTACATCTTATGTGGAGTTTTGGTTGCAGCAGGCAGCCAGACGAAAGATTTGGCTAATTCAAACAAGATTTCCTCATCCCAAAGATTTTTGTGCTGTGGAAAAGACATGTGGCAGCAATAAAAACAGGCAAATTTGCCATCAGTGCGGTAAGCGCCGTGCACGGTGTGAAGCGCGTGCGTGGTTGATTTTTTTTTTTTTTCTTCGGGGAAGGGGGTGGATATTTTGGTAGGGGAATGCCGGATGGCTGAGAGCCCACCCGCCCTGATTGCATGTCAAGGATCAGTATTAAGTTTTGCAAGATGAGGTTCTGACCTCTACGTGCACGTGTTACTGCCTGCTGTTAATGTTACACACGCGCGTGCGCGCACACACACACACACACACACACACACACACACACACACACACACACACACACACACACACACACACACACACACGCAAACACACACGTGAGCTTATCTGTGAAGTTTTTACTTGAAATGAACTTTTCATATCATCGTGGAGATGTTAATTAGTAAACACCTTTTCCAGGAACCGCGTCAAACATTGATGATCTGGTTTTGCTTTATGGCATGGATGATGTGAAAAATATCATTTTAGGCACGTGGAATATTTCTTGAATTTTTCTGCATTGCTTCCAGAAATTGTTCAATCAATTGTCCATGCAATTCTGCAGATGTTGATTTCTTTCTTTTTTTTCCCACAACATTGATCCCAGAATGAGTGTTTTTATTTTGTTTTTTTTTTTTTGTTTTTTTGTTTTGTTTTTGGTGGTTGACAAGTCGTGAGAGAAGATGTTCTGTTTTGTGTTCTGTGATCAGAGAGTTTCCAGTTGGCGGGCGGCGTTTCTCACAACATGGCCGCAGCGGCGCCGGCGGGCGTGCGCTCGCTGCACGTGTCCAACGGCGGCGGCGGCGGTGGCTGCGTGTACCGTGGGCCGCTTCACTGCATCGGCAGTGTCGTGCGACGCGAGGGCATCCAGGGTCTGTACCGCGGGGGCGGGGCCATGCTCCTCAGGGACATCCCCGGCTACGCCCTCTACTTTGTGCCCTACGCCGTCTTCTGTGATCTCCTCAAACCAGACGGCGCCACGGTACCGCACCCCTGTGCCATATGGCTGGCTGGCGGACTCGCAGGTCAGAAACGTTATTTAGATACTACCAAGACACTGAAAATGAGTCACAGTTTTGAGTTTGTGCCAGCTAGAAACAAAACTATGAAGATTTGTTGAACACTCTGTGCTGTCGGCTGAGTGTTTTCGAGCTTCGGCAACTGTCTAAAAGAAAAAAAAAAGTGAATCGAAGTGCAGTGTGCAATCCTAAGACAAAGTCCCATCAGATTGCATGACTGCAGAATCATTATATTTCAACCAAATATACATTATAAATGTTGAGTTTTGCCATGACAATACTAATAGTTAAATATGTCTATTCAAAAAGACAGTCTTTAGTTTAGATTTTATGAAGTGAAGTCTAGAAAGGCTTTCTTTAAAAAAAAAAAAAAACAATAACAATCGCTATGCGCTGAATGTAACAATAAAAATAACTTCTAACTTTCCAAATCAAGTAATCAGGAAAGACTTCAAATTATGATCTCAAGCACGTTTGCTCAAGCATACTTGGTCTGTTTGCTTCTTAGTTTTTTTTTCACCAGCGTTCATCATCTGGAATCCATTTTGCCAGATCGAACTTGTTTTGTTCAGAAACATGGCCTATTTTCACGCACGTTTGGACTTTGCACGACTGACATTCGCCCTGAAATGCACTTTTTTTTATTTATTTATTTTTATCAACATCAGGTGAGATCAGCCAGGTGAACAACCTCATTTTTTTCTTTCTTTCCTTTGCAGGTGCTGTCTCCTGGGTGACGGCCACGCCCGCCGACGTGGTCAAGAGTCGCCTCCAGGCGGACGCTCACCTGCACAGGAAATACAAGGGCATTCTTCACTGCATCCTGCACAGCTACAAGACGGAAGGAGCACAGGTGAGTACGTTGGCGCCCTCTGCTGGACGCCGCCGTAAGCGCCCTCAATGCCATGTGAATGTTTGCATGACAATTCCAATTCCGAAGTTCGCCATTGACCGCCGTGTTTATGTGTCGTGGTGCGTGTACAGGTGTTCTTCCGCGGCACGTCAGTGAACGCCATCCGAGGCTTCCCCATGAGCGCCACCATGTTCTTGGGCTATGAGCTCTCGCTGCAGTTCTTCCAGAGCTTTTAGGTGGCACAGCTGTTGCCGTGACGACCCTTCTCGTCGTTGGTTTCTTCGATGTGAGGTTTAGCGGAAATCCCTGTCGAAGGTGCAATTGGCAGATTAGTTGCACACAAGTTTTTTTTTTTTTTGTTTTTTTTTTAATGTCTCAGAACGACAAGTGCTATTTTTTTTACATTTACCTAGACAGAATAGGACAACTTTGATTTGGACATTAGCTATTTTTTAAAAATAATGTCTTCAGAATGATGTAGTATAGTGTAAATAGTTTGTTTCTTATATTAAGAAAATGTATTACATTCATCCGAGATACGTTACTGGCACAATTGTATAGCCCCAACATACCAAACGATATACTGTGTATATGAAACAAAGCAGTTACACTCAATAAGGTACATTCCAACATAAAGCACGCATATTTGTTTTATATGATAAATGTTTTTGTTGCTGTGTCATGCTGTGTTCACGTGCAAACTGCCATTCCAGTGTCTTTGTTCTAAAATAAAACTTTTTAAAAAAATAAATATATAACGTGCGTGTTTTTCTTCCCAAATTAAGCGTTTTTGCGGAAATCTGCTCAGTCAGGAAAAAGTGTGACCATCTGTCCATTTGTTTATCCGCAATGCTATCTGCCGTCCGTGCGCTAGATGGAAGCATCGCGCAATATTGAAAAAGTCTGGACACCTCATTAGGTACAGCAGCTGATGAGGTTGAATCGAAATAATTTCCTGTTGAAAGCGAAGAATACACGCATTTTTTGTGACATGATTGTGTGAAGTGAAATATTTACATCCGCTCACTTAATATTTGAATTTATTCGACAGTATTTGTGACATGCATTTTGAAAGTAGTTTAATTTGATGACATAATTGGTTAAGTATAATTGAAATACACATAAATAAAAATGGAAAAAAATAAAGCATAAAAAAATATAATCATGAAAATAAACTTGCTTGATTGTTCCCGCAAAAGTGGTTATTTGAAATATGTTTAGTGATTTTAAAACAACTGGTAAAATAAAACGGAAAATAATTAAACATTTACAATAATTTGATTTGAACAATATTAATTACAAATAGAATGACAAAAAAACAACATGGAAGTTCTTGGTAATTAAAATAAGCTGCTCCAATTGCAGCATTAATTTAGCCGGGATTTTTTTCAAAAGATTGGATCATTGAAATTTATTCATTTTAAATTTTTTTTCTTTTTTTTAATTCACTCATCTCAGGTAATGATTGATGCATTGTTAATACAACAGTTTCATAAAATAAACCATTATGTATGTACATTGAACAGCTGTTTGTTCCTGAAATAATTGGTCATTATAAAGTAGAAAATGAGTGATTCAAGTATTTGAAACTAACATTTCACTATTTCACGTTTTACATAGTTTTTTTTTTTTTCTACTTGACATGTCTCTTTTAAAAATCAAAAATTGGCTTGTAGCTTCTTTGGATGTCAAATTTTGGAAGATGTCAAACCAAGATGAATATTGTAAAATATCACAAATAAGACACAGGACTCCCTTCCTTAAATAAACAATTTTAATGTTGTTGTTTATTATTAATGAGACATCCAAAAAGGACAGACAGTTGCAAAGACGCAGCACGTATGTTGACACAGCGAGTGCCCGCACAGACGACATGACATGCAAAGCACACATTTTTCAGATTTTTTTTTTTTCAAACTTGATTGATGACATTCTGCTGCACCTGAAATGATTTTTACCCTGAATGAAAGAAAGAAAAGTCCCATAATGCATCGGGAAACAGCCGCCATGGCACAACACTGTCATCTGCTAACATCTTAATTGAAAGGTGTACACTGAAACTGTAACAATTTTTTCTTTCATTTATTTTGTGAATGCAAACACTTTGTTTTTCTTCTTTCTACCCACAATCTTGCTGCTGTAGACTGTAAATTTCCCCAGTGTGGGACAAATAAAGGATATCTTAATCTTTATCTATCATTTGGCATGGCGGAAAATGGAAAAGAAACAACGACCCACTGACGGTTTTGATTCTAACGTGTTGATCACGTAAAAGTCTGTGAGGCAAGTTAAAACCTTGATATTTATATATTAAAAAAAAGGCAGTTCAGAGCAAGAATGGCAGTTGATTGCGATAACTCTGCGGTTGAGCTAACCGCCGACGCGTGTGAACTTGAGCTAACTCACGCTAACAAGAGCTATAGCGTGTAAACACGAAGTAAAGAGCGTTAACACGAGCCGATGCCAGTTAACGCCACCTTAATAATCTCTTTGAGCTTCGCTCATGCAAATTACATTTTCTCACAGATTTCAAAACAGTGGACGCCACAAGATATGAGCGAGCCATCTCACGAGTTTACCAAGACACGAGCTGTCCTTCGGCTCACGGCCATATTCTTTATCCTCCAAACAGAAAGATGAGTTGGGAAGGAGTTGTGATGACTCAATGACCCCAGCGGTTCAGAAAATGGATGGATGCATGCATGGATGGATGGATGGATATCTTTTACTGCCCCTAGGTGGTCAATGCATGCACAGCATTGAGATGTGCACTAAATTGAATGAGAAATCTTCAAAAACGGCAGACGATGAGGCAACACGGTCAGCATTAAAGTGAGACGCGTCGAAATGGCGACGATGACGATGACGGCGGGCTCATGCGTTTCTCTCGTGGGTCCATCCTTCTCAATCCCCCATAAAGCCGAAGAACAAGCGTACGCAAAACACAGAATAGCCCTTTAAAAGCCAACAGGATGACAATTGAGCAAACGTGAACAGAAAACACTGAAAAAGGAATAAATGCGACACTTACACATTGAAATGAATTTCATCGAGTGAGTTCATATCAGAAGTTCAAGCACAACTGATTTCCCAAATTCATTTCAGTCCAGTGCTAACATCACAGTTGATGTTTTCGCATTAATGTAGATATCAGACATCTGGAAAAAAAGCCCGGAATAAGTCCGCCTTTCATGAGGTAACGTGAACTCTCCGGTGAGGGTTCACCTTAGATCATATAATCAAGAGTTCGCTTTGACGTGCCACCAGAAACTGTCACTCCCATCAAGTGTGATGGGTCCAACACAATTTAAAAAGTCAAATCTGGACGTGTTTCTACATCTTGTTTATCAGCAGGCCAAAACGTTCGTATGCATTTACCACAAAATTGTTAGGCGTTAAAAACAAGAGAAACTCAAAAATGCAGCGTGGAGCCTCCAGGATAATACTTCTCAAGATGTGTCGCATAGCTTTAAACATTTAAGCATTATCACCGCAAAATTCTAAATCCATCTTTTTGTTTGGATTTCCAAATATTACTTCTCGATGATCTGTGAACGGATGTCTCAACGCATTAACACAACATGTAGCCATAAGAAGCTAACGCACGTAGCCAAATGCGCTAAAAGCTAGCTCTTAGCCTTTTTAGCCTGTGCGCTTCCACCCACATGTTGAGAAAGTAGCAGAGTGGCAACAGCGCCTCACTGCTACCACTTCCTGTATGTGATGTCATCAAACGTCCATGGGATAAACCACCAGGGTATTTGATACCCTCCAGGAACACAAACAATTGGTTTGGTTCCAAGGTTAACTGAAACCACAAAGACCCAAACAATTAATCAATTCATCAATGCGGTCTTCGGTTTGCATGCATCAACATGAGGAAAGCGTTCAGTATTAAAACACACAATGGCAACCACACACTTAAACACGTGCAAAGATGGTTTCTTCCGACACGCGTGTTGTGTGAACGTACACACGACGTACGCACACAAAGAAAAAAAACACATTCAAGAAATTATTGCAAAAAGTCTAAAGTGTATGGCTTTGTGGTCTAGTCCCGAATCTTCTTCTTCTACTGTGTCACCGATAACTAAAAAAACGGCAATAAAGTGTTTTCGTGTTCTTGCCGCAGTGCCGATGACTGCTGACAGAAAACCGCATGCTCCTTAGCCTGTTAGCTTCATAGCTTTTTTAGCATTCCAGATTCTTAGCTCTTTAGCTTCTTCGCCTTTCGTCACATGCGAACACTGTTAGCTTGTCCAAAGGACTCGTACCATTGACATTGACCATTGACCATTCTTCAGCGCTAATGCACCACCGATGCAATACTGGCGCACCACGAATGTACCACCAAAGCACCACTAATGCATGACGGATGCATCACTAATATCGCTGGCACAGTGATAAAGCGCTGCTGATGTACCCATAACACACCACTAGCACACTGCTGACACACAGCTTGATGTCGTAGTGGTCTTTTCATTTTTTTTTTTCGAGGGGGGGGGGGTGTCAGACGTCTGAAACAATCGTATTCTTTGGTCTCCATGGTGATCAATTTTGAAATTTAACCTCAACCTCCAACCCCGCACCCTCTCCCCAATACTTCTCTTTGCCCTAAGTTTGTACTGATTGTCTAAGGGGAGCTGGAAATACGTGTCCAATATTTTCCGGTAAAAAGAAGCGGCCCCTTTTATACAGGTTGCGCAAAACTTTGGCATTCATACAGAATACAGCAAAGGTGTACGCTTTCACACATAGTCCTGCCATCAAATCGTTACAGGAGCCCAGGAAATTTCCAGGTGGTCAATAAAAAGGACAGGAATAAATTGGCTTTGGTCGATTGCATTAAAGGGACTTTCCTCAAAATTGGCGAAACAGAGACAAAGGAGCAGAAGAGCCTCCATCCAGTTGTGTCTCTCACAGAGAATCCGACAAACAGAAGATGATACCAAACATATCAGCTCCAATTTGCCATCATTCCCTTTCACGCAGCTGCTGTCCCGCCATTGTTACCAATCTGGTACGACCTCTGAAGTTGATAAATTCACATGCTGACTTTATCAACTATCCCATGTTGGTACCTTTCATACAGCATAGCCAACTGGGATCGAGCCGGGAATAAGTTGGCTTTGAAGGGCAGTGTGAAAGGGGCTAGACCTTCCCCAAAACCGGTGCACCAGAGATGTAACAGTCGATCAACATCCACCTGTGCTTTTCACAAAGAACCCGTTGAATGGAGGACATGGTCAGATTCCCTTTCACGCAGTCAACATCCTGTCGTTGTTACACCTCTGATACAACCTGGGAGGCCGGTAATATCAGTGGACGACTTAACTCCCCCATGCCACCCCCATCCAGTGTTGGTACGACAACATAAGAAAAAGAAACAGCGGAATAAATTATTTGAAGGGCAGAGTGAAAGGGGATTGAGTTCCTGCAAAATGAGTGCATCCGAGACGTTACAGAAAAGCCTTGTCCACTTGTACCTTTCACACACTGCTGTCAGGTATCTGATACTACCACGGAAGCTGGCAAATTTGCAGTTAGTTTTCATTGCCGCCTTTATTGGCCATACTTTTCAGACAGGCAAGCCGGGAATAAGATGCCTTAATTAGCAGTGTGAAGGGGCCAAAATTGGTGCATCAGAGACACACAAAGTAAAAGTAGAGTTGGTATTGAATCATCCGAATCGCATTTAATGCCCCATCTGCTGACAGAACTCTGCTGTCAGGTGAAGTGACCTAAATTCTATGGCGCAGGTTCCCCTTACTTCATTATACCATAACACCACAGAAATTCAGCTTTTGTGGTCCACGTGAAAGGGGTTTTGACACCTGATCCAATACATGTTTAAGTTGGCAGTGTTACTACATCTTCCTGGCCAATCAGGCGATCCTAAACGTTGGCATGCTTTTCCCACGTCCACTTGCAATCAAGGCACGTGTCCGGAAAAATATACTTTCAACTTTGGATTTGGTGGTGTCTGCCTGGCGACAGGTGACGACCGACCAGTCAAAAGGCCTGATAGCAACAAATGAAAATTTTAAAATGCTGTAGGGAGTAAAACAAACACAAAACAAACATTTTTAGAAAAGGCAGTGTGAAGCCTCCAACTGCTTGGCAAAATCGTCTCTTCCTGAATTTGAATCATCATTCCCCCTAATTCCCTTCCCCTCCCCCGTCTTTTTGTCCCGGTCTACTTCTTGAACATGTCCTGCAGCGGACCAGGCAGATACTTGAGGACAGTATCCAGGATACTCTCATCGTCGTCGTCGTCGTCATCCCCGCAGCCCCTGGGGATGGCCTTCTTGGGGCGCGTCAGGGAGCCCTCGCAGGCCTGCTCCATTGCTGCCTTCTCCTCAGCCTCCTTCTCCTCCTTCTTCTTCAGGCCGTACTAAATTCAAAAAAGACCTCCTTAGCTCACAGACTATATAGCTCCTTCAAAAGTCCACAAAAAAATCCCTTTTGATGTCAAGAAGAAATGCAACCACGCACGCCTTAGTGTTAGCAGTAGCATTCCCATTGGAAATACAGACATGTAACCCGAGCATTGATGTTAGCATTAGCATTGGCAACAGCGAGGAAACTTAGCACTATCCCTAGTGAACATGTCCGTGAGGCTAACTGAGGAGGTTCTAGTACCTTATACAGGTACCTAATGCTCTGCTGGACATTAATATTAGTATTAGCATTAGCACATGCTCGGGAAGTTACCACTGAGCTTGCTTGGGAGGTTAACAGAGAAGTTTGTGCTATCCTGCCACGAATGCTGCGCTGGACTTTAGCATTAGCACATGCTAAGGAAGTTACCATTGGCCTCCGTGAGCTTGCCTGGGACCCTTAAGAGAGGAGTTTGTGTTACCTTGTCCCGAATGTTCTGCCGGACTTTAGCATTAGCGCATGCTAAGGAAGTTACCACTGCTCTCCGTGAGCTTGCCTGGGAGGCTAAGAGAGGAGTTTGTGTTACCTTGTCCCGAATGCTCTGCCGGACCTTCTCTCTCTCGGCCTCCATGCGGGCGTGTTTGGCTTTCCGTTCCTCCTCCTGCTGCCTCAGAGCCTCCTGACGCTCTTCCTCTTTCTTGGCTGCGTCGGGGTCCTTCTCCTCCTCGCCGCCCAGCATCTTGCCCATGTCCTTGGTGGCCCCTGAATACAGCACCAAGACAGAAGAAAAGAGAAGATGGTGAAAGGTGACAGAAAAAAGCTGATGTAAGTCCACACATTTGGCGGTGCCTGAACGTATCAAGAAGCATCGATGGCGCCTTGTTATTACCTCGGTGGGGTCGATCGTAAATACAGGACCACCTGAGTGTATAAATTATGGATCTAGCAGCAGAGAATCAAAATTGCATCACACTATCGATCTTCATCTTGGCTCACACACACACACACACACACACACACACACACACACACACACACACACACACACACACACACAAATGCGTCTAACATCTCGAATTTTCGAGAAAATGACTTCATCGGCTGCATTGCTCAGCAAGTTGACATGGATCATACCCAACGTGCACAATATATTATTTGATATACTAAACATGATTATTGTGTTATTCTTCATTTAGAACATATAAATGGTACTTTTTATACGGTATACATTGTACGATGTACTGCTGCCTATGTAGAACATACATGGTATGTTTGGTATACAATAGTACAATACTTTTGGTTTTTAAATCAAACGTATATTCCTATATACCACAGTAAATCATGAACTATTTGAACCACTTTATCCTCACGAGAGTCGCTGGTTGTGTATAAATAATGGAACAGTGCTGATTATGTCATGTGCAAAGTACAATTATTATTTTCTTGACTTATTTACCTAAGTAATATGGTCCTCTTGGTCAGCGGTAAAAGCTAGCTAAACGGCTAGCTTCGACGACTGAGAGGAAAGCTAACATTTGTCGGGATTTGTCATCCAGATATGCTGCAAATAAAATGGAATAATGTTGCCAACAAGGTAAATGTCGAATGCACTGTTTACGTTATGCGTTATTTAATTTACGCATGTGATGGCTGTGTCGTAGAAGCACTCAGCATCATCTTCGACATCATCATCATCATCGTCAGGCTTTTTCCCCGCCTGTGGCGGCGTGCGGCCGCAACAAAAGCGAGTGCGACAAATTAACACTCAGCTGGCGAGAAATAGGGGTGGGGGGGAGTTCAGCGCTCAGCATGGGGGCGGGGCTAAGGTCAGCCTGTCCGCTGCGGGTGTTGTGACAGCTAACAAAACAAACATCACATCACAAGTGGATTGTATGAGGGGAGTCTTGGTGTTAAACTTCACACCCCCTTGTTTTCTCACCATTTCTTACGTTAAATCTCTGATCCTACCTCAGTCATCAAATAAGTTTGCATGTCGCCTTTGGGTCTCTGCTTTGTATCCTGTACCTGATACACAGAACATCACCCCCGCCCCCCCCAAAAAAAATATATATATATAGCTATTATGGGCAGCGTGAAAGGGGCTACAGCTTCTGCAAAATTGTCGCATCCGAGATGACTCGGAAAGTCGGCCATTTAACTGCCTGTGCCTTTGCACACAGAAACGAATTACACTTGTGATACTCCCTCAGTCTTGACGTTCCTCCATTCCGTATACCTTGCACACAGGATTGCAACACGGGTAAAAGCTGGCTTGGATTGACAGTGTGACAGGGCCTATAGTTCCTCCCAAATTGCTGAATCAGCAATGTAAAATAAGATTCAGTCTATGTAACTACATCCGAATGTAGGCAAGGTGTTGGTCAACATCCATCGGTGTGAAAGGGGCTCAACTTTAGACACTCAACAGAAGATCCAGAATATAACCACCGGCCTAGCTGTTCGATACTACCTTTGAAGACGGGGGATTTCCTGGGGCAACATCATCCCTCAGTCCATCAGCGCATGCGTGTGTGTGTGTGATGTAGAGTAACAGACATGTATTTGACCTTGGTCTTCATCATCATCATCATCATCATAATTGAATGAGGGGCGGGGGGTGGCGTGTAAAGGGGATGAAAGAAATGGGACCATCACCGTCCCTGCACTCATCTTGAACCTTTACTCTCTCCTCGCCTCTTCTTCACTCATCCTTCCTCCTCCTCCTCCTCCTCCTCCTCCTCTCGGTCGTTATCATTAGCACAAAGGAGGCTCATTGAAGTGCTCCTCGTTACTCCATTGACGGCGTGGCGCTAAGAAGCTCTCCTCTACCTGATGAGTGCTCGGATGGATTAAAAAAAAAAAAGATGACTCGGCACAATAATTTCATATTATCTGTCAGATCATCGCTGGATCTCGCCGTCCGATCAGGCGTCTGCTTTATGTGATGGCAGGAAGCAACCGGCCAGGCAGGCAAGCAGCCTCGGGGTGGAAAGGGGGGTGTACAGGGGGGCATGATGAGATAATGAAAAGCAAACAGGAAATGAGCAGGAATGATTGCCCATGCCGACAACTGATCCCGCAGCTTGCACTATGCTTTAAATCATGCTGGCTGATCATATGTAGACTACATTTAGCTCATAGTATACGGCCTACATTAGGATATTGTTCCAAGGCCGCGTTCATGACATGCTGGTGATTGATTTTCAGCCCGCTGGTCGTAGCACAGGAAATCAAGGACAGACACTTCCTGTCTGTTCCACTAGATGGCCGTGATAAAATCCGCATCGCCCGTTTGTTTGATATCCTGCTGGAGGGGAATGAGGAACCATCACTGCCACGACTGCGAACCCTTGCATATTCGACAATATGAGTCACAGTTCGGCTTTGGTGATGAACCCGTTCGAGAAATATAAATATAAAGCAAATATGAATCACTCTTTCCCATAGGAAATGATGTCAGCCCAATGAATCCGTTCCAGACACCCAAAACCTTATCAAAAAATACGTTACAGTCTGCAGATTTATTTCCGCCTATGACACAGCCTATTTTTCCAGATTTTGCCCCTTCCTGATTGTCCTATCAGATGAGTGCATCGCAAATCCACCAAAACTGTTCATGTGTGGGGAAAACGGCAGACTCTCAAGTCATTTGACCCCGTGAACTGCAACATGAACGGAAGGCAGCCAATCAAGAAGCGCTCTGACTGACCCGCAAGGAAGCGGTGGCCAAATAAACAACAAAATATATCCTAACCCAAATAAAAAAGATACCAAAGCTGCCTTTTTTGATGACATTGGAATTTTTAGACGCTACCGCCTCTATCCATTTCAAAACACCTGGGTTTGATCATACGTGATTTTTGTCTTGAAGGAGATCAGTGCTGGAAGAGAATGCTTGTGTGTGGTACTGTGTGTTTTGACTATCAAAATTATTAGAGTGCACCACACACAGTATGAGCAAAACTGTGAAATGCCAGATTTTTTTCTTCATCTTTATGTGATGATAAACAACCTTTTAAGATTGGGGTAAAAATGTGTGAGGTACTGAGACATTTGAGAAAGAGTTTGGGAAGACAACGTAACACAGTTGTTTGCTTTTGTCAAGTGTTAAAAGCTTTTTGTCTGGTCGGTGGCGCCGCCCGATAATGCATTCTGCCAATTTAAATGAATGGTGTGTCAAGTGTGAGCAATTTCTGACTGTAATAAATTAGTGATTCAACATGATTTTGTGGAGGTGTCGTGTTGACGTTGGTACACAACTTTACATGGTTGCAACAATAGAAGGTATCGTGCCTACTTGTGTGTGTGTGTGTGTGTGTGTGTGTGTGTGTGTGTGTGTGTGTGTGTGTGTGTGTGTGTGTACAGACAGGGGGTAGAGAGAGAGAGAGAGAGAGACAGAGAGAGAGAGTCTTCTATAAACAGCTACTGGGCTGGTTTCTAATTAAAACATCAGTTAAAAAACAAAACAAAAAAAAGTCAATATTTCCCATCCAATAACATTCATTTGCCTCCCCTAATCACATTAGCCCATTCGGCTGTGCGTGCGTCGCCCTTTGTTGACATTTTGTTGCGTCCTTTAACAAGGTGAGCATGTCGATAATTCATTTTCATTAATGTTGCCATTGCGCTAATGCTCATGCTAGCCAAACAGGAACCTTTCGACAGGCCCACCAAAATGAAAGGGAATGAAACCGTCTTGCCTAAGATTACGTGAGAAGACGATACACTGTTCTTTCTTCAAGAAAAAAAACGTAATTAGCAGTAGAACAATGGTTGGTTTTACAAAGAAAAAACAAAAACTCACCAGTTTCTGGCCAGAAGCGGTGCTTTTCAAATAAACATTCAAACTCAGTGCTAACATGTAGATTTTTAGCATGCTAAGCTAACATGACATGTTAATTACTCACCGCCCAAAGCTTGTTTCATTACAAAATCCATCTTGCGTTTTTGGGTGTGTCGAACTTCTTGGATGTCAAAGACAAGCTAGCATGTAGCCTCCGCTGCGACGTCTCGCGCTAAAATCTGGATATCTCCGGATGCACCTGCCGCAAGAAAGAAAGAAAGAACTAAACTTGTGGTCACGGGATCAAACCAAGCACATAAAAGTGAATATAGCAGCGTGCGGTCTGTAACAGCGATGATGTCAGGAAAGAATATCCGACAAACATGCTTATATTGAATAACAAGTGAGTGTTGGGTTTGCACGATATCATTGGAATTTATTTTATTTTATTTTTTTCCATCAACCAAAATGCTATTCCTTATTGGGCCAATCCTTTCAAACGTTATTACTCAGTGCGAATCTGGCACGAGATGCGACATCTCCGAGCAGCAAGCGGAGCACAGGGCACCGCTCCCAACCTCCTCCTTCCATCCTACCATCCTCCCTTCTTCTTTTCTTTCTCCTCCCTCGTTTTTCTTCTGTTTTAATTTGATCGTCCCGAAGGCTGGCAGCTCCGTGACGCAGGATAATCTCATCAAAGCAAGCGGGCTTGGCTACTCGCTGCTTTCTTGAGCTTCCCTTACTTCCTTCTCTTTTCATATCCATCTCTCGCTTTTGTGTTCCTTCCTGGATGCTGGTCAAGATTCTTTTGTCTTCGTTTTCCGATACTTTTTCCTTTTCATCTGATTCCTTTTTGCTTCCCTTTCCTCTCTTGATCTAGTCCACGTTTTTCCTTTTTCCTTTCCTTATTCATTTGTCCCCTTTAATCCATTCCTGGTTCGATCATATTTTCTGTTTTTCACCCACTATTTTTTGAACCTCCTCCATCGATTCATTTTTTCTTTTCTTCCCATTGTGCCCAAACCGAACGGTTTTTCCAAAATCAAACTGTAGTTTCCCGCCCTTTCTTCTTCTTTAATGTCTTCTGTTTTTTTTTTCTTTCTTGATCCTGCCGCCCTTTTTTCCTTTCCTGACACCAACCTTGTTTTTTTTAACACCATTTATTTCTTCTTTGATTTTTTTTTCTTCAATTTTCTTCATTGCTTCCCCACATTCCTTGCCTTGCCCTAGCCACCTTTCTGCCTTTATGCTTAGTGCACAGGTGTCAAAGTCAAGGCCCGGGGGCCACATCTGGCCCGCCACATCATTTTATGTGGCCCGTGAAAACAAATCAAACATGGCAACTTCCATAATGCTTGCTAAAATATGTACCAAAACGTCAAAATTCTCAAATGGAATAAATATTGGAAGCATTTTCTTGTTGCCAAACACCTCTTTACAAAAACTTAAACAATAGTTGAATAAACTGTTATTCTTGACTTCTTGATATGATTTCAGTCATAATGGCCCTCCAAGGGAAATGGTAACTAAAATGTAGCCCGCGATGAAAATGGGTTTGACACCCCTGGCTCAGTGGATCAATTTATTTTTTTCTTTTCCTAAACTGTCACCATCCATGAACGAACCTCCCACCCCACCCCACCCCACCAGCAAGCCTCCCCTGGGGCAACCTCAGATGAACACCAATAATAAATCAAGTCGGCGCGGTGCCCAAAAGTGGACAGAGATGGATCGTTGCAGGTCAGTGGGACTCAAACAATGGTCAGTCAATATTGACCAGAGCCCCATTTGCTATGCATCTCATTATTTCTTCTCATTTGTTCATTAATAACACAGCAACATTAACTCTTGTCAGGAAGACAACAAAACAGGTTGGCATGTAAATGCCTACATTTCTTTCAGAATTAAAAAATAAATAAAATGGCGGCAGGTATGTTATATTCATGTGAGCGCGTGCTGACCATTGATAGGCTGGAGGTATCTGGGGGGGGTGGAGTCACATTACCTCATCTCAAATAAAAAAAAATCTACCATGTTGTTATTGTGAGCATTATTTATTTAACAGGGTGGCTCAAACTATACATCAGGGATTTTCAAAGGGTGGACTGCCAATATCAAGTTGCGGTGTCCTGCGAACCTTGCACCCAATTGCTGTGAAAGAAAGTATGTAATGAAGCATTTTTCCTCATATTGGTCGCTGTCACAGCAGCTTTCTTCAGCACTATTAGCCTTAGTTGTGATCATGTGACCACAATGAGCCAATTAAACCGTTTAAAATGGAGTGCTTTGCCGTCTCAATAACACAGTGGGCTTGTTAAAAAAAACATTCACAAATTTCACTCAGAAACACACATTTTAAAGATTTACAGCCAGTTTTTTTAAACACTAAACTGTTGTGTATTATACGTTACAAAACCACAGTTTTAATAGAGAGTAGAAACATAAAGCAGCATTTCAAAATCAAATGCGTTGAGTTGAGTTGAGCAATGTTAGTACTCTCGGATGCTAATGCTATATGCTAATAGATATTGGTTGACATGACTTTCCGTTTGTTAATTACTTCTCGTAATCCCTTGGTGAGAACAATACCTGTAAGAAGTGGATCTTATTTGCTGGCACTGACACAATGATTCCTGACTTAGGAACGAAACTGCAACGTGTGTAGCCGGCTGTAGTTGTCAGTTGAAGTTCGTTGCTAGCTAGCTGTTGCGGTATAAGTAGCACCATTCTCGCCTTGACCTGGTGACGTAAGTGCCTCTGCCTTTCTTTATGTTGGCCATTTACTGCTATAAGAAGCGTAAATATTCACCTATACGAGGACAAGTGACGACAGACATAAGAGGAGAGATGTGGTGTGATAAAAACTTATGTAATAAAATGTTACATACCGCACACACACACACACACACACACACACACACACACACACACACACACACACACACACACACACACGATCCATCCAGCCACTTCATCATTTGTCATGTGTGTGCACGCGCGCGTCTACACATTCAGATTGGATGTAAAGATGAAAGGAGGCTCATGTGGAAAAAGGAGGGCAAAAAAGTAGGACAAGAATGTCGACGCAAACAAGGCAAGGAAAAGGACAAGAAGGGATGTTCGCCCCTTCCACGCTGTCTTTCCCAAACGTTTTTTTTTTCCACCTCACTGGCTGTCCTGCGTGAAAGCTTCTGACATGCAACGATGGTGCAAAGAAGCACACACGCACGTTACTTCCACTGAGTCCACGCTTGTGTCGCTCAGGTGAACTTCGGACCTCACCTCGGTTCCCAGCAACAGGTGTGAGATGCCCGTTGCCATGCCAACACAGAAGCTCACAGTCCAAGCTCCCTGACTGGATGGCAACGCCCGTATGTTTACACTTGGTAACAGAAAGCAGTGTTAAAAGGTAATGCAGAGAACTGGATTTTTTTTTTTTTTTTTTTTGCAAGGGGAGCCACAGTCTAATGGGACAGTCAAACACAAATACAAAATGATAACACTCACAAGGAACTGCTGCAGACCACAACTCACATCCAGATGCTCACACACAGACCAACTGGTGTCACATATTTACGAAATCACATTTCAGTTTATTTCGATGGAAAAATGAATTTGATACACCGTGCGGGTAGATTGAAAAACTGAGTCATGACGTTGAGAATTGAGTAGCAGTTGTTGCTACTTTTTACACTCGATTGGATGTGCCTGGACCACCTCTGCACTTACAAGCTGGCGCTGCCACTCAGGCCTCATTGCTAAAAGATGAGCGTGTGAATTTTTCATGCGGTCGTGCGGCGCGGCCAGCAGCAGCGGGAAGAATTAGCGCAGACAACAACAACAGTAAAACTGAGAAATTCTATAATCATATTTCTAAACAATCATAGCAAAGAGCAAATACACCATACTCTTAATAAATGTAGATTTCAACCATTCATCCGATTTTGATCCAACTTTATTGCTCCATTCACAAGCAATAATAAAATTTTTTGTCAGTTCTGTCCATCGGTCTTTTATATGTGGTCACAATCTGGTAACAATGGGACAAAATCTGGAGGAGGATTTCACTTGGAAGTAGACCCCTGGAAAGACTTTTTTGTTGGCAGCGTCTACAAAATTTCATGTAGCAAAGTCAAACTGCCTTTGGGCGCCGGGTTTTCAAAAGAAACTCTAAGGAGTAACGATCCCTGGAAATGATCCCGAAGATGGCCCCTTCAAACTTAAATGGAAGACTCCCAGTGTCTTTTTATTTTTTTGGTCTGGCTTCTTGAGACCTTTTTTGCAGGTCTACTCATGATAGTCATGTTTCGCAAATGTTGTACTGCTAAGTCAAACGACCTTCATGGGCTGGATTTTATTTTATTTTTTTACAAACTCTAAGGAGCCACACTCCCTGGAAATGCTAGTTGTGTGTCTTGTCTATTAAATTTTGTGCCGCTAAGTCAAACTGGCTTCGGTCGGGAGATTCATTTTGAAATAAAAATAAAATAAACTCTGAGGGGCAGTGACTTCCGCCACGTGCTGATTTACTTGTCACACGCACAACAAACAACACTCATCTGTACACAAAATAAACGACACAAAACGTGAACACACTCACATGCGCGCGCGCGCGCACACACACACACACACACACACACACACACACACGCGCACACACACACACACACACACACACACACACACACACACACACACACACTCATGCAACTATCGATATGAAACCTGATATCAGTGTTCATTTCATTGTGCCATACGTGTCACAGCGTCCACACACACAACAGACAACAAGGGCACGCACGCAAAGTAAATTGTGGATGAAGCACACGCGCACGCGCCCAAACCCAGCTGCTTCCTGCCATCCAACCTTCATCACAACCTCCTCCTCTTCCTCTTCCTCTTCCCGCCACTTGCATGCGTCAAATGATTAGGATGAGGATGAAGAACATCAAGCTGCCTCGCCTTTCCCGGCGTACAAGCGGGCGTCTCTAAAAATCTCGTTCCTGTTTTTTTTCCCCTAAATAAAGAGGGTTCATCTGCAGAGCGCACGCCCCCGCCATGTGCACACGCACGCTTGAAACCCCAGCAGGGGAAAAAATGGAGGAAGGCGTGCATGTGCGTGTTTCTACTTACCTGCTGGTGCTGCTTCGTGTGCGTGAAGCGGCAGAAAGAAGAATCCCGCCAGTGTGCAGCCGAGCCCCCGCCTGACCACCCTCATATAGAACCTCTCAAACGCACACAAGTGCGCGCGCACACTCAGGCGCACGCACACACCGGGCAACACGCCTTTGTCTCTCAACCCCGCCCCCTCCGGAGCTTCATCTACACGCAAGCGGCGCAGCATATGGACGCGCTCACTCACTACCAGTCTAGGTGTGTGTGTGTGTCTTTTGCTGTTTTTTTTTCTCACAACACAGACGGAAGGTTTAAAATTCACTAAGTGCAACGGCACCCCGACCTGCAAGCTTTTCGTCGAACTTCACGACAACATCGTGAACCAGTCGACCGGAAAACTAAACATAAGACATACTGTATGCTAGCCTAATGCTAACACTAAATGCAAAATTCCAAACACAGGCTAATAAAACTAGTATCGATTTTGTGGTGTCAGAACCCTTTAAAGCAACAGATACTTGAACATATACGTTGCAAAAAAAAAAAAGAGAAACGAACTACAGCAGTGCTCACGGGCGTATATCTTTTATCCTCTGCGAAGAGTGGCGAATATTAATTGAGCTTTCTAACCTGCGAAGCGACCATATTAACAAGCATTTTCGTTCGTGTTTACTTGCAAGCTGGACATGTTGAATTGCAAGTACTCGAGTAAAAAAAGTAGCTGTGACTAAATAGTGATGGTAATAAAATGGGTAGTCATAGTGACTCATATGTAATCAAGTATCAAAAAGTACAAATGATTCATAAGTACTTGCGTGTAAAAAGTAGCGTAAAAGTGTACGAAATGAGGATGCGTTCAGGCGTCGTGGTTCATCACACTGTCAGGTTCTTTTGAATTGCTTGCTGTTGACTCAAGGAACACACACACACACACACACACACACACACACACACACACACACACACACACACACACACACACAGGCAGCTGCTCCCTGTGTGTCGTTTAAGTGGCATCAGCTGTACAAACGAAAATGTTAAAAGCGTGTGTTCGCCGTGACCATTCAAACACATGCACCCACATAGGCAAAATAAAATGCACAAAGTACCACGTGATCTGTTCTTTTCCGCGTTGTTGTTATCACTTGTGGCTTGTCCCGCTAATAAGCGCTTTCCAAACACGCAATCAACGATGCTCGTTCCTGCTCGTCAAGTCAAGTGGGTCATTTAGCCAAAGTCGACACACTCCAATATGCGCATAAATGCGTGTGCGCAAACACTGCATTAATATTTGCGAGGTTTTGACAACAGGAGTGCTTTAACATTTGGGCATGTTCGAGGAGATCACGCACAGTGCCTGAGATTCTCCCAAAATTTTTCCTCAGGCTCTCTCTAGTGACGAGAGAGAAGGAAATGCTAAAAACATTTACACTCGGAGCAGGTAGAAGGAAGCTTGTTCTTATACACATTCTGTATTCTAATTTTTAGTTTCAGTTCAGTTGTTTTCAACTTTTAGGGCCATACTTTTGCATTTCAACTGTTATTTTAAATATTTCAGTCCACTTTTTGGAACGTATCAAAGCCAGTGGGCTCTATTGTCAATTTCTTCACATATGCTGGACATTCAAGGTAATGGAAATTACGTTCCTCACATTTCCAGATGTAGATAATACAATAATAACACATCGTGGTCAAGTTCAAAGCTGAGCATATTGGCTTCCACTATTTATTTTTTTGGTTCTTGAAAATATCACACCAGAGCAGAATGTATAAAAACAAAACCAAGTTTAATATCAAAAGTTGATTTTTTTTTTGTACATTATATTTTACAACAGCGCCACCGAGTGGCAGCATCATTCATTACAACAAACACGTGTCTCAGTGGTAACCTTTTTACCACAACTACTGCCACTTTTGTCCAGCTAAAATGCAACTTAACCATACTAGTAAACTACTGTGCTGCTACACATCTGACATCTTAAGGTCAAACGAGCAGGACTTAAGTGGCACTAGCAGTGGAAAAAGGTTACGAGCAAGCGTCAAGGGCTTTCGGTGAGCTTGAGGGACGGCGGGGTTCACGTCAGGAGTCATTGGGAAGGCCGAAGAGTTTGACGGTTCCCGCCTCGCGACTGTTGTCGTACTTGTCGTCCTTGTCGTCGCAGGAGTAGGCCAGCAGGTGACGCTTGGGGTGCCAAGCCACCGTGAACGTGGGGGAGCACTGCACCTCCCACAGCTTCTCGCCTGCCCAAAACACACACACGCACACACACATATAATTCAAATTTCACACTTTGCTCAGAACGCAAAGCAAGAAAACTGCAAGATGTTTTGATTCAATTTGAAAAGAAAGGCATTTAGGAGTAAACAGACTAAAGTGTCGCGAACAAACTTGCTTACTGATACGTTGCGTCACCAAAGGAAGTCTCTCATTTGCGTGCCGTACAAACCTGTTTCCACCTCGGCGATGTCGATGAAGTGGTCCTCGGACGCCGACGCCAACATCTTCCCATCGTGACTGAAGCTCAGCGTCCTCACGGGCCAGTCCAACCTGCGTCATGTCAGGTCACAAACGGTTACGTTTTTTTCCTCCTCCCATCATGTTCGATTCACTTGGACCACACAAGATTACATCACCCCCACAAAATTGATTTTATTACATTGCAGTGCGAGATCGCATCATTTGACACCAAATCGCGCTGCACTGCATTCGACAAAAGCGCGCTCACCTGGAGAAGCAGCGCACGCACACCAGCTCGTCCAAATCCCAGAGGCTGACCAGCGCGTCGTTGCTGCCCGTGGCAAAGTATTTGCCCGTCGGGTCGAACTTGATGCAGATGCAGTTGGATGGGTGCGCGTTGATGGACTGGATGGTCTTCAGCTCGGGGTAACTGCAACGACAAGGCGTCAAGCAGCAGGTCCGGCTGGCCGATCGCAGCCCCCTGCGTTGCGCTAGCGCCGATCACCTGAGGATATTGATACAGCCGTTGCCGTTGGTGAGGAAGAACATGTCGTTGTCGTTGTTCCAGGAGATCTCGTTGACTTCGAACTTGAACTTCTCCTCGGCTTTGGTCTTGTGCGTCTTGGCGTCGATGAAGGTGACCACGTCTTCCTTGTTGCCCACGGCAACCGTCTGACCGTCCGGACTCCAGCAGATGTTGATGTTCTCGCCTTTCGTGGAGAAAAACAAAATGGGAAGGCTCGCGGTCAGTGTGGGGGCTTCAAGACAGGATGAGTTTTTTTTTTTTTTTTTTTTTTTTTTAAAGCCTGGACCTCTGGTTATGGTTTCAAGCATCAGGTTATCACAGTAGGGTTTCCAGTCAGGTTGAAATTATTTCAAGAACCGACTAATCACTGATTATTTTCGGAATTAGTTGACTAATCATATCATATGAAAACTTCAAATTAGGCTTTCGACCCAGGGTTTCGAATAATTATCAAGGAAAATATGACTGCGTTCAGACCCACTCACTCGTTACATATAGTGGTCATGTTCAAAACGTGCCATTTCTATGCACTGGACTACGTAGCTGACTGTCAGGCTGAAACGATTCATGGAATAATAAATTCCGAGTGGAGATGTTAGTGAACTATCTCGGTGCACCACATAATCGATTTTTTATCATCGTTGCTTTTGCCAACCTTTGGTGTTGACGACGGCCGTGCACTTGGTGGTGCGCACGTCCCAGATTCGGACGCTCTTGTCGCCCGATGCTGTGACAAAGAGGTCCGGGTTGCTGGGGTGCCAGCACAGCTGATCCACGCTGTCGCTGTGGCCGCGGTAGTTGTTTTCCTTCACCTGCGCACACAAATGGCGAAACATGACGGAGGCGTCGCATGCTAATTGGCGTTAGCGGCTCAGTTTCAGAAGGGGTGGAAACCTTTCAGCGGAAAAGTCCAGTACAAACAGTCTAACCTCGGCTTACAAAGACGCTCTCGCTCACTCACCGGAACATTTGTGATTCGATTACTTGATTAATTGATGGGATTTCTATTGATCCAGCTTTATCCAGGTAAGGTAACAGAGAACTGATTGTCATTTGCAATGCCGGAATAATTGAGTCGAAAGGTATTCAACAGGTATAGCAGTCGCCTCAAGGGCGGCACAGTGTTCAACTGGTTAGGACGTCCGCCTCACAGTATAGAGGTGCAGAGTTCGATTCCGGTTACGGCGTTTCTGTGTGGAATTTGCATGTTCTCCCCGTGCCTGTGTGGGTTTCCTCCATTTTCCTCCCACATTCCAAAATCATGCATGGCAAGTTATTAACCCGCCCTAAAATCCTAGTTGTGAGCATGAGCGCAAATGGTCGTTCGTCTATGTGTACCCTGCAATTGGCAGGCAACCAGTTCAGGGTGTACCCAGCCGACTGCCCGAAGACAGCTGGGATAGGCTCCAGCATGCCCGCGACCCTCCCTGAGGGCTGCCACGGATGGATAACAAGATCATAGATATGAATGTATATGTATATTTTTGCCTACACTGTACATTGAAAAGTTGCTCTCTGTTTTTCTTGTCGCGTCATTTATTCAATGAACACAACGGTGGTTCTTTATTATGCCGAGTATGTTGAAGTGGTGCATTTACGTCATTGTGAGACGCTTTACGTAGGCGAGACTTCGTTAAAATGTTCATTTAATCCACTAGTTAGCAGTTTAAGAATTTGTTAAATAATTTGTGAAAGTAACTTTACCGTGAGTAAGACTACTACAAATAGAAATACATTGAAGCCTATTCGTAAATAACGGCTGGCTCTGTTCGCTCGTTCTTTTCATTCATTCATCAGTCCGGCACTGGCGGCCGAGGCCGAACTCACCAGTCTGTCTTTTTCCAGGACAAAAACGCTGGCGGTTTTGTCGACGGATCCCGACGCCAGTCTCCTGCCGTCGCAGCTCCACGCCACCGAGTGAACTTTGGCCGAATGTGCCGGGAATTCGCGACTTTTGTTGTTCGTTTTGAACGTCTCCTGCATTGTTTGGTAATAGCGCGACGCCATTTTGACTCGTTTGCGTCACATGAGCGGAAACAGGAAGTGGTGGCAGCGAAAGCGGAGTTAGAGTGGCCCCCCTACTGCAGGGCAGAGTCAACGCACACGTTCATTCGGCACTGTACATGGCTTCTGATTGTTTTTTTCAATCCATAGTTACACTACAACATTATGTTGATAAGAAAAAATATTATACACGAGTAATATCGTAAAATTGACATAACAATTCGTTACGTAATTAACTATTGGATTAGTATATCACAGTTGAACTTAAATGATATTTGCCACTTGCACAAATATTACTTTGTCAGATTGAGACTACTTTACAGAACCAATATCAACGTGTAACATTTTATTCTTATTTTTTAGGTTTTATTTTATTTTTTAAATCTATCTGTAGTCATATTTTAACAGATGAAATGTAAAAATCCCGGGTAAAAATACGTTTTCTTTTGTGTGATTACACATTACAACCTTTGGATGTCGCTGTTTGACAGATTGTGTATATGTAAATGAATACAATTACAGTTACAAAGACTGAACGTGTTCAGCAATAAAATGTATTTATTATTATTATTATTATTATTATTATTATTATTATAGACTATACATAATAGACTATATTGTAGCTTTAGCAGTTGAAGATGAGGGAAAAAAAGCGGCTCGGATTGACGTCAGAGATGGGAAACGAAGTGTGCGTGTGTGAGTGAGTGAGTAGGTGTGTGTGTGTCCGCGTGTGTGTGTGCGCGTGTGCGTGCGCTCGTGTGTCTATGTGTGTGTCAATGTGTGTGTGGTGTTAGTGGTGGTGGTGGCAGGGCTGGGGTTTTGCCGGCTGCAGCGGTCCTCGGGGTGCTTTCTCATCCCTCCTCCACGAGAACGAACGAAGACATCTGGGCCGGCGGAACCGGGCTCCTTTTAACCCTTTCATACTGTCCCATCCAACTATTGCATTTCTTTTGGTTTCTAACTAAAAATACGTCCATCAACAAATGCTTTCCCGCTCGTCGACGTCGCCGGTGGAAGGATGCGAAGAGGAGGAGAAGGAGAAGGACGCGCACATGCAGACGGAGGTAAAACCAACAATTCTTTCAATCAGTGATTGATTTTGACAGTAAAAGCTGGTAAATGCTCTCAATAGAAGCCACCGCACGTTTATGGAGACAGTATCTATGTGTTTGTTTTTAACTGAACAATGTGATGGAGGAGGATTTCTTGATGTGATTTACGATCTCACCGGCCGGCTTATTCTGGCTTTCGGGACCCCTCCCTAAATTAATGTGCCCACTCAGCACATTTGCACAACCATATGCATATACAGTATACACTTATTCTATTGCAGTAGGATGAAATTTAGTATATTCTTTTCCCCCCCATTCTAAACACTATATTGATTTTTATGACAGGAACAGCTCATGATCCAAAGCATACCACAGCGTGTGTCGATTTTTTACTTATAACAATTTTTTTTTTTTTTTTACATTTTAACAAGAAAATGCTAACATTTGCTGGCTAAGAGGCGTTTGACCCAGGAAGTGACGAGTCATCACCATGACAAACATGAAGACCAATCTGGGGATTGCTGGTTGTCGCGGCAACGGCGAAGGAAGACTTGTGGTTAGAGGTCGTTCATGGGGCATCACACGAGAGGCCAGCTAATATAGATTTACATTCAATGATCAGAACAGTGGAGGTTTGTTGCGTTTAATGTTTCCAATGTTAAATGTTCATGCTATCGAATGTTTGTAATGTGATTTTGGTGAGTGTTTCTGCTAATACATGTTTATTTATGTTTGTAATGTTTAATGTTTGTAGCGTTAACTATCATGTTTGTAACGTTGAATCTGGGCATATTTTAAACGTTCATCACATTAAATGTCTTAAGGAATTCTCCCTCGTAATGTTTGTCACGATTGTTTGTAATGTTGAACATTCGTCATGTGGGCCGCATTTAAAGTCTGTGACGTTTGTAACATGATGTTTGTCACTTGGTCAACGTGACTAACAACAACACTTGACAGAAAAGCAGGGAACTAAATACAATCGAACTGACGAGACAACAAGGCACACCTGGCCAAGACACGAGTGACCGGACGGAGCTGATTGGTCGACACAAGGAAGGAACGGGTGTAGACATGAACGAATAGACGTGACATGAAAAAAAAGGAAGCAGGGAAAACATGATAAAGCATGAAACAAAACTAAATCTAATCAAAGCGAAGTCAACACAGTGAATGTTTGTTATGTTTAATTTTGGAAACATTAAATGTTCGTAATGCATGTACGGACCATTTAATGTTCCTGACGTTGAACGTTCATAACATTGAATGTTGGGAAGGTTTAATGTTCGTCATCTTTAATGTTGGTAATTTTCATGACATTTAGTTTTTGTAAAGTTTCTAACGATTATATTTTGTACCCTTAAGCGTGTGTAACATTGAGTACTTGTAACATTCAGACTTCAGAACGTTTAGAGTTGAATGATCATAACAGTGAATTTTTGTAATGTTGAATTATTACTGTGTTTAATGTTTGTAACGTTAAATGTTTGTAACAATTGAATATCTGTTACATTGAATGTTTGTAATGGTAACGGTTGCCATCGTTAAACGTTTCTAATGTAGCATTTAACATCCATCACTATGAATGCTCATGACATGTGTAGTGTTTGATATTTGAAAGTGTTACATGCTGAAAAATGTTTGTAATGAATGCAATGTTTGAAATTCCGAACATTTTGAGCGCTTCGAACAATAAATGTTATGTCGAATATGGGTAACGTGGTCAAAGAGGCACATGTCCTTGGTGCCTCCTGGGGGATTTGCTAATGTTAGCCATTAGCGTGAGAGGCTGCAGGTAGATGAGTCCTAAAAAGTGGGCCAAGTGCTTCCTGGTGCTGCTCGGAGGGCTACTGGGCGGCAAATGAATGTGAGCGAGGATGTTTCACCTCGCCATGATGCTGTCAGCTTGGCGTAGCGTCACACCAACACGTTAGCTCACACATGTTTAGCTGGGTAGGCTGAAGCAGTGGATTACGTTGTGTGTCGCTCTGTAACATTGTGTAACGGTGTGTAATGTCATGTTACACAATGTTGTCTAACACCGCTAGTAATTTGTAAGTAGTTTAGAACATTGTTTAACATTGTGTAATGCTGGGTAACGTTGTCCAACGTGTAACACAAGGTAGCGCTGTGAGACGCAGAGCAGTGAAGTAGCACACTGTCTTGCATTTTGTAACATGTAATGCTGTGTCACGTATTATCCAAAAGAATGTTGCGTCACGCTGCAAGTAAATTGACATGAATTTTGGACAAATAAGTACATCAGTAGTACATTGCGTAACGTCGTGTAATGTTGTGTCACACTGTGTAACGTTGGGCAATGCTTGCGTCCCGCAGTGCAGCAGACTAACAGAGCAGAGGGACGAGGCCGAGAGACAACTCAAGCACATCAAGAGGGGTGAGTCTCACCATCCCCACCTCATCTTACCCTCAATGCTAACAGGCTATGCTAAAAGCGGCTAATACACACACACACACACACACACACACACACACACACACACACACACACACACACACATTCCGGCTACAATAGGCCAGTTGACACCCCCCGCCCCCCACACACACACACACACACCTCCGGGGTGGGTGTGACCGGTCAACGTGTCAGTCGCAGAAATCCGCTCATTCCTGTTTCTGCCATGACGATCCACACAGGTAAGAATACTCTATATCAGGGGTGTCCAAACTCATTTATATGAATGCTTAGAATGTATTAATAGTGTGCTGTTACCAAATTTTGTTTGCTAACTCAATTTCGGTGCTATGATTACTTTCTCCATTACGGTATTTGATGTAGATTGATTGTCTGCCTTTTGTCAGAACTAAACGAAAGGTCTTGAATATGATCTGCTATTGATGTAACAGAAATTGTATGTATCAAAAATATTTGTTGTATCGGTTACTTGGTGTCGGTATTGGTGAGTCGTGAAGAGTTCAGTACTTGCACTGGTATCGATCTGAAAATCTTCACAACCTTAACTGACTCGTCACAATATGCAAACTAAAGAGGGAACTTCTCAGAAAGAGGAGGTTGCAGTTTTGTGCCGTATGGAAATGTATCCATGAAAATACAAGCAAGCTGTTTTTAGTGCACGAACAAAACAGGAACAACAAATATTCCAACAAAGCCTCCTATTATAAACTGAACTGTTGCCTTTCAATGTACTCTTCAAATAGTTCGACGGGAGATGTTTATTTAGTGTAATGTTCCTTTTCTGTGAAGTCAGCTTCCTTTGCTTCCCGAAACTTGGCGTCTTTCAGCGTTCACAAGTACGTGTACATCAATATCAGCCATCAAACCCTGAGTGGCAGCCAATTTCACATAATTTCAGCGGTCGTCAGGGCCCCCTCCAGTGGATGAAATTAGGAATAGCAGTTACTTTTCTTCTGAACTTTTTACTTTGTCCAAGTAAACTCGTTTTCTCTTTTTAAAATGTTTTTTTTTGGCATCTCGTGAGTGACCTTTGCCCATGTGATGTGTTAAATTGTCTGTCGTAAAAATACCTCGGGTAGACGCTCGCCCCTCCTCGAGGACTTCTCCTATGCTGAATTATTCAGGCTGGTAGAGTTGAATAATTGACGCCACTAACAGCAGCGCTGCGGCGCACATGAATAAATGACGGCCAAACGAACGGGTGACACCATAGAAAGTCAGCCCGGCTCATTTTTTTTTTGTCACACATTAAATCAACTTTGTCCACTCCTGGAATTTTCTGTCTTTCATTCTTTAGATTTCATGTCAAAGACGTCATTAAAAAAAAAAGAAAGACTTGTGTTGCTGTCCGTAAATTTAAATTCGTTTTCGCGCCTGTCTCTCTGAGGCCCCGCCTCATCTGTGCCCTGATTGGTCAACACTCGTATGACCGCTCACACCCAGGGAACGAATTAGAAGTGAACACAAATGCAAGACTTGTTTCTTGTTATTCATGAGCTGACCTCAAAGATTTTTCTATGCACACCAAAGGCCTTTCTCGCTCAAATATTTGTC